TCCTGCATAGATTAAATATGTCACATAGAAAATCTCTGATAGGGTATTACAGGTATATTGCACATATATGATACCGAAAATCATGTACATGGGGCTTATTCAGTTACTCCCTGTGTTCTCTGAAGGACTCAACAAATAATATGCATTGTGCGGAATCCTTGTTTCCATTATTACAACTGTGGATGATCATTGAATGTCCCATTTAATGCCAAAATGAAAACTAATTATTTCTTTGCCATTTACCTTTTGTGTGTGTGTGTGTGTGGGGGGGTGATCTATGTATATGACCCACACAAAGTTAAGCCCTTTTGAACCTCATTGGTCTCAACTGGAAAAATGTAAGAATGTGCCCAACACATCCAATTAAATCTGTGGGCCTAAAATGGCTTTGTTGGTTTTCTAATATCACACCTGTTCATAGTTTCAAAACCAAGTTATTTCAGTTATTCACCTGCCGTCACAGCTTTTTCTGCGTGTAGATCTGACATTTTTAAAGAGATGTGGGTATTTCTTACACAGACTCAATTCACACCCAGTGCAAATCTCAGATAGAAATCTGTGTTAGGGGCGAATGCTAAGCCTCTCCATAATCTAGTCCAGGTATGGGCAAACGTTGGCCCTCTGGGTGTTTTGAACTTCAACTCCCACAATTCCTAACAGACTACCAGCTGTTAGGAATTATGGGAGTTGAAGTTCAAAACACCCGGAGGGCCAAAGTTTGCCCATACCTGATCTAGTCATATCTTCAAGAGAAGACCACTTTCATAGAAGCAGGCTAAACACTATGTAGCCCAGTATGTTCATAGCTCTAGTCGTTGGGATATTTCAAATAGGGGATAATGGGGGCTGATGGTCTTACTCCATTGTTTTCCTCAACCTTCAGAGAGTACAATGTCCAGATCCTACACTTAACATCCACTGATATTACCTTATTTATTTGCTCCTTTAAAAAAGCAATACTAAACCCCCTGACCAGTGTTACAGAAGAATTGTATAACGATACTCAGACACCCGAGAGCAGTGTTTCTCAAATGGTGCTCCTCCGGATGTTTTGGAATTCAGCTCTCAGAAATCATAGCAAGTTAGGATTTGTGGGAACTAAAGTCCAAAACACCTGGAGGATTACAGTTTGAGAAACATTATCGTAGAGCAAATGGATTCCCCATAATGCAGGGAAACATACCACTAGTAAATTTGTAACTGTGATTGATGCCAAATTTGCCTTTTAAATTTTTCACTGTTGAAATGCTGACAGATTTCTACGATGCTGAAATATACCCAAGGTTCCCTCTCTACCATACAGCCCAGCAAGGTGTCAGGATCAAGCATAAAGTCCCTTTCCTGAAATGACAGAAAAGGAAGAAGCTGTGGCAATTCTTTGGTATGGATAGTGATGGTGATGGCCATATGTATTTTTAAAGGGAACCTTGTTATACATTCAGGGTAGTCACAGTGAATGCTGAAATCAGAGAACTGACAATATAATTATGCCCATTTAGAAATTATCCACATGATGGTAATTGAACTAGTCTAACAGGTCTTCTCATCCATGGCCTATTGCTGTCAAAAGGGGGGGGGGGAGAGAGAGAGAGAAAATTTGTCCCAGTTTTTAAAAAGAACAGAAAAATACTTAGCTTCATATTTCACCCATTTAAAAATTATYCATGTTGGAGGCGACCCAGGAACAGGACCTTTGAAACAGTCTTCTTGTCCATGGCCTATTGCTTTTTATAATAGAGAGACAATTTGTTCTGGTTTCTAGAGTGAAAAAACCCCTTTTGCCACCCACTCTCTCTTCTGAAGTCAAAATCAAACACATGTTCAAAAACTGGAAATGTTATTCCATCACAGATGAATTACATGGCATTGCWAATCAGTTTCCCAAGAAAGGGTACCTTGTGTTGTCGAAGGCTTTCATGGCTAGAATCACTGGGTTGCTGTGAGTGTTCCAGGCTGTAGGGCCATGATTCAGAAGCATTCTCCCCTGACGTTTCACCCACATCTACGGCAGGCATCCTCAGAGGTTGTGAGATTTGTTGGAAACTAGGCAAGTGAGGTTTATATATTTGTGGAAGGTCCAGGGTGGGAGAAAGAACTCTTGTCTGTTTGAGGCAAGTGTGAATGTTKTAATTGACCACCTTGGTTAGCATTTAAACAGACAAGAGTTCTTTCTACCACCCTGGACATTCCACAGATATATAAACCTCACTTGCCTAGTTTCCAACAGACCTCGCACCGGGACTGTGGTGCAGCTGGATGGGAGTCAGCTGCATTAAGACCACTACTGATCAAAAGGTCATGAGTCTGAAGCCAGCCTGGGTCGGAGTGAGCTTCTGACCAATTTGTGTAGCTTGCTGTCGATCTTTGCAGCCCGAAAGACAATTGCATCTGTCAAGTAGGAAATTTAGATACTGCTTATGCAGTGCGGCTAATTTACAACACCATTAAAATCTCCAGCAAGCATGCAAAGAATAAGGAAGTACTTCATCAATGTCACAAATGGACGGTGAAGTGACAACTCCCCTGGTGGCCAGAATACCCTCATGAAAAAGCTGGAATATTAAATAGCCTCTGTGTATCTGTCTATATATGTTGTGTGTCTATGGCACTTAATGTTTGCCATGTATATATACACTGTAATCTGCCCTGAGTCCCCTGCGGGGTTAGAACGGCGAAATAAATATACTGTAAAATAAATAAATAAATAAATAAACATCTGAGGATGCCTGCCATAGGTGCAGGCGAAACGTCTGGAGAGAATGCTTCGGGAACATGGCCATACAGCCTGGAAAACTCACAACAACCCAAAGGGTACCTTTTTTCTCTGGTTGTAAATTTGGTATGACACCATGATGACCATAAAATGATAAACTAAAGATATTATGGGGGCCAGAGAGATTAATAGTAAATGACTTGCAAATGGATTTTTAAAGAATTGAGATAAAATAAAAGGTCCTCTAAACAGGAGAAGATCATAATCTTTGCACCTCCGAAAACTTGGCTGCCAGTATTAACTTGTCTCTCCTTCTTAGCAAGTTCTCTCCCTGCTGTTCTTCTTTGCTGTTACAACTGTTTTTGGTCTTCTGCACTTGACCTTATTTGATCTTGTCCGCACTGGGAAGCCTGAACTTGAGTGCTTGATCCTTATGATGGATGATGCAAACAAAAAAATCCTCTTCACCACCACCACCACTACCAGCCTTAAGCATCTTAAAAGAAAGCTGAGTCCCTCCTCCTAGCAGAGATTGCATAAGTCAAGGGAGAGGCAGAATCCAGAAACACTCTCATTTTCAGTGTTTCCTGCACTTGATTTCCACCTTTCTGCAAGAAAACACATTGGGTGTTTCATCACCCCCTCCCTACACAAGAAACATGTACAGTTTTGTAGTAAAACAAGTAAGCTTTTCCCCCACCCCACCATCCTGGGTTTACAAAGTATCATAGAAAATACTGATTCTCCTTAAACATGCGGATTATTACTTTTTTGTTGTTGTTAAAACAGGAGTCAGAAAAAAATTAAAAAAATGAAATCAAGTCATTTCAGGCACGAAAGGTTTGCAGTAATCAGTCAACATACCAGGTTTTAAAGTTAACAGCTAAGTTATGAGGATTGTCCCATGCAGTGCAAAACCAGCCAGGATTATTATTATTATTCATAATATTATTATTATTGATGGTTACGATTATACTTTTTCTTTGAAAAGAGCCGGATGCTGGATCATTTTCTTACTAAGGGTGATGAGGGATGCACAGAGTGTACACTGTAGAATGAATGCAGCTTGACACCACTTTAACTGCCATGGCTCAGTGCTATAGAATCCTGGGAGTTGCAGTTTGACAAGGCCTTTAGCCTCACCAAACTGCAAGTCCCAGGATTGCCATACCATGAGCCGCCATACTATGGAATCATGGGAGCTGTAATTTTACAAGGCCTTCTCTGGCAAAGAGAGCTGGTCCCTCACCAAACTACAAATCCCAGGATTTCCATACCAATGAGCTGCCATGCTATGGTATCATGGGATTTGTAATTTTACAAGTCCTTTAGCCTTCTCTGACAAAGATAGATGGTGCCTCACCAAACTGCAAGTCCCAGGATCACCATAGCAATGAGTCAACATGCCATGGTGTCATGGGAGTTTTAGTTTTACCAAGCCTTTAACTTTATCTGCCAACAAAATAGTGTTGGTGCCTCACCAAACTATAAATCCCAGGATTGCCATACCAATGAGCTGCCTTGCTATGGTATCACGGGAGCTGTAATTTGACAAGGCTTTAGCTTTCTCTGACAAAGAGTTGATGCTTCAGAAAACTATAAATCCCAGGATTACCATACCAATGAGCCACCATGCTATGGTATCATGGGAGTTATAATTTTATAAAGCCTTTAGCCTCCCCTGACAAAGAGAGATGGTGCCTTGCCAAACTACAAGTCCCAAGATTACTATACCAATGAGCCACCATGCTATGGAATCATGGTTGTTGTAATTTTATGAGGCCTTTAGCCTTCTCTGACAAGAGAGCCGGTGATTCAGAAAACTATAAATCCCAGGATTACCATACCAATGAGCCGCCATGCTATGGTATCATGGGAGTTGTAGTTTTACAAAGCCTTTAACCTACTCTGCAAAAAAAAATGGTGTTGGTGCCTCACTATACTACAAATCCCGAGATCCCATAGTTGCGGAGTGGCCATGGCTCCATGCTATGGAATCATAGGAGTTGTAGTTTTGCAGGGCCTTGATGCTTCTCTCCCCAAAACAGAGCTGGAGCTTCACCAAAGGACAGGATTCCCTTAGTATTGAGCCATGGCAGTGAAAGTGATGTCAAACTGCATTCCTTCTACAGTGTAGACCAGGCATGGGCCGACTTGGGCCCTCTAGGTGTTGTTGACTTCAACTCCTGCCATTCCTAACAGCCTCGGGCCCCTTCCTTTTTCCCCTCAGCCGCTTAAGCTGAGTGGGAAAAGGAAAGGGCCTGAGGCTGTTAGGAATTGTGGGAGTTGAAGTCCACAACACTTGGAGGGCCCAAGTTGGCCCATGCCATGCCTGGTGTAGATGCACCCAAAGGCCATAGCTCCAAAGACATGGCCAGATTTCAAAAAATAGGAAGGAGGGAGGTCTTAAAAGAAGTCTTGAAGGCCAGGCTGGACAAGTGCCTCGTGGGGAGCATCCAGGTCCTTCAGACGACCGCCTCGTGGTCGGAGCAGATCTCCTCGCTGGGGTTGACATAGCAACAGTACCTGTCGTAAGGGCTGGTCTCCTTGTAGGAGCAGACGATGATGTTGTCACTGGGGGCCACGAAGATGTTGACCTCCGTATCCGCGGTGGCGGCAGGAGAAGAAGAAGGAGAAGGAGAAGGGGGCAAGGGGGCAGAAGCAGCCGCCCCCGCTTCCAAGACGGGCGACTCCCGCGGCTTCTCTAAGGCACGGAAAGGGCTGCCCTCGGCCACGAAGACGTTCCCGGGCATCTCCGGGTAGCAGTTCTCCAAGTAGCGCAGCATCTCCTCCTGGTCCACTTTGGGCGCCTCCGCCAGGCCCTGGTCCTGGGGCAAAGAAGAGGAGGAGGAGGAGGCGGCTTTGACGGCCAGCTCGTCGCAGCTGCCTCGGCCGGACTCAAGGTCCGAAGGGGTCCTGAGCAGCTCCAGGGCGTCCTTGTCGCGGGCTTTCTTTCTCCGGCATGGGCAGCATCCGTGCCCGGGCGGGCCGCCTCTCTGCTGCTGCTGGTCGGGCCACTTGGTGCAGCCGTCGGTCTTGCGCGCCAAGGCGATGGCGGCGATGCCCGGCAGGCAGATGGCCGGCCCGATGGCCAGCAGCGGGATGTCGCCCAGCGTCTCGCCCTTGATCCCCGAGACGGTGAACATGAAGCCGAAGACCAGGAAGACGCTCACCAGGGCCACCACCAGCCCCGTCCGCGGGTTGATGTCGTCGGGTCGCATGGCGGGCGCCGCCCTCTAAGTCATGGGCGCCCTTCTTTGGGGGAGGAGGCACCCACAAACACGAAGCCTTTCCTTGCCAGCAAAAGGGGAGGCCAGGCAGCCGCAAAAGGACCCCAGGAGCCCCTCCAAATAGGTCCTCAGACTGGCCTCGGAGGGAGCAGCAAAAGAACCCGAGGAGCCCCTCAAAATAGTTCCTGAGTCTGGTATCAGAGGGAGCAGCAAAAGGACCCCAGGAGCCCCTCCAAACAGTTCCTCAGACTGGCCTCAGAGGGAGCAGCAAAAGAACCCGAGGAGCCCCTCAAAATAGTTCCTCAGACTGACCTCAGAGGGAGCAGCAAAAGGACCCCAGAAGCCCAAACAGTTCCTCAGACTGGCCTCGGAGGGAGCAGCGAAAGAACCCGAGGAGCCCTTCCAAATAGTTCCTCAGTCTGGTCTCAGAGGGAGCTGCAAAAGGACCCCAGAAGTCCCTCAAGATAGTTCCTCAGACTGGCCTCGGAGTCGGAGGGAGCAGCAAAAGAACCCGAGGAGCCCCTCAAAATAGTTCCTCAGACTGGCCTCAGAGTGAGAAAGGGAGAGGAAGGGCAACAACAGGAACAAGCAGACGTTGCTTCACTCAGACTGGCTTCGGAGTGAACATGGGAGAAGACGGTGGGGGGAGGGCGGGTGCTGAAGAAGCAGCCCACAAAATGTGTCCTCAGGTTGAGCAAAAAGGCGAGAGGAGGCAGGAGCTGAGGAGCCCCTCAGACTAGTTCCTCAGACTGGCCTCGGATGCAGCTGCAAAAGATACTGAGGTACCCCTCAAAATAGTTCCTCAGACTGGCCTCTGAGTGAGAAAGGGAAAGGGAGTGCAACAACAGGAACAAACAGACGTTGCTTCACTCAGACTGGCTTCTGGGTGAACATGGGAGAGGAAGTGGTGGGATTGAAGAAGTATCCCACAAAATGTGTCCTCAAGCTAAGCAAAAAGGGGAGAGGAGGTAGCAGCTGAGGAGCCCCTCAAAATAGTCCCCTCAGACTGGCCTTTGAGTTGGAAAGGGGTAAAGGAGAAGGAAGGAACGGAGGCAGCAGGCAAAGAAACCGAGGAACCTACAAAAAAGACAGTTCTTCAGACTCTCTTCTGTCAGGAAAAGAGAGAAGCAGCAGCAAAAGAAAACAAATGCTTCCTCTGAGTGGGAAAAGGAGAGGAAGGGGGCAAAAACCAGAAACAAGCAGACGTTGTTTCACTCAGCCTGTCTTCTGAGTGAACATGGGAGAGGAAAGGGGGGAACTGAAGAAGAAACCCACAAAATGTGTCCTCAGGCTCAGCAAAAAGGGGCGAAAAGGCAGCAGCTGAGGACCCTTTCAAATTAGTTCCTCGGACTGGCCTCTTGAGTGGAAAAGGAACTGAGAGAGCAGCCAAAGAAAGCGAGGAGCCCACAAAAACATCTTTCCTCAGACTCGCTTCTGGCGGGAAAAAAGAGAGAGGCAAAAGAAACTGAGGGACCTCCCTCCAAAAATGTTTCCTAGCCTCTATGGGGAAAAAGGGAGAGGAAGGGAGAAAATGAGGCAGCAACTCAAAAAACTATGAAGCCCACAACAAAAAATGGGAGGAGGGGGGAAGAAGGGAACTGGAGATTGAGGGAGCAGCAAAGGAAACCAGGGAATGGCTCTCCTTCAGAGTCAAAACGGGAAAGGAAAGGGAGAAGTGAAGGGAGCCCACCAAAAAGATTTCCTCAGCCCCACTTCTAAAAGGAAGAGAGAAGCAAAGGAAACGGACCCCCCCCCCACACACACACACACAATACTTCCTCAAACTCACTCTTAAGGGGGCTGAAGGGTAGCAACGCTTCCGAGAGAGAAGCCCACCAAACGTTTCCTTGTGTGAAGAGGAAAACGAGGTGAAACGGGTGCAAAAAGGGCTCACCAAACGTTTCCTTGGGTGAGAAGAAAGGGAGGGAGGGAAGGAACTGAAGCAGCAGCAGCAGCAAAGGGAGCCGAGAAACTCACAGATGGTTTCCTCTTACTCATTTCGGAAACAGGGAAAAATGGGTGGGGGGTGTTGAAGGAGCCGCCAAAGACACCGAAGAGCCCACCAAACCTTCTAAAGGGAGAGGAAGATGGAACTGAAGGGCAGCGAAAGAAACAAGAGTGGTCAACGTTCTCCCAGGCTTGGTTTTGGGTGGGAAAAGGCGAGAGGAAAGGGAGAGAGGTAAAGAAGTTCAGCCAAACAAGGCAGTCGTGTCCTCCTCAGACATCGCCTCCGAGTGGAAATGATGAGAGGAGGCAGCGGAGGCGCCCACGAAGGCTTTCCAGTTGTGGGAAGGGGCTTGCCCAAGCTCTGGGTCGTTCACTCCTTTCCTAAGAGTCGAGCCAGGTGCCTTTCTTCCTCGGCGGAGGAGGAGGAGGAGAAGTGGGCTCTTCCCCGCAACATCCTCGCTTCCCTCGCTTGCCACCCTCGGCTTCAGTTACCAAAACACTCCCGAAAGCTTATCGTTTATCCTCACAGCCCGCACTTTTGGGCTGGCTTTCCAGGCGAAATCCCTCCTATGGAATCCTGGCTGGAGGTGAGCAGATCCTGTTGGCAAAAGCCTTAGAAGTAAACCGACAGACCCACGAGGGCAGCAAAGTCAGGTGAAGGGCGGGAAAGGTTTTCCCCGCGTCTGGCGCAAAGCTTGGGAGGAGGAGGAGGAGGAGGGAATCCCCACTCGCCTCCCTCTCTCCCTCCCTCCTGTCAGCTCCTAAGGGAAGGACGGGCGATTCCCCTCCAAGTCACTCATGGTTTGGATTCCCAATCCGGATCATCATCAGAATCCGGGTGGGATTGACTTCTGGGGAACAACACACGGGACGGGTTCCTCCTTTCTCCCTCCTCGCGGTTCCGCCGCAAATTCTGGCCCGAGGGTAACTCTGGGGTGCGAGGGAATCCCAAAGGTTGGAGGGCGAGAAGGAAGGAAGGAAGGTGTGGAGTGGGAGACCCCCCCCCCCCGCCTCTCCCCGCTCCGGGTCTTCGAGGAGCTGTCTGTCAAACTGCTGCGGCGAAGAAGGCGAAGCGGAGGGGAGGGAGGAGGCGCGAGGGCTTCTGAAGCAGGGCAGGGGGAGGAGACTGGAAGGGCGGCCGGTTGCCAAGGCGACAGAGGCAGGAGGGCTTTGGCAGGTCAGGCCCAGGTATGTCAGGCCCTGCCTCGTCTGCCATCTGAGAGAGAAAGGAAAAGACTAGCATAGAATCATAGAATCCTAGAGTTGGAAGAGACCTCGTGGGCCACCCAGTCCAACCCTCTTCCAAGAAGAAAGAAAATCGCATTCAAAGCACTCCTCCTGACAGATGACCATCCCGCCTCTGCTTGAAAGCCTCCAAAGAAGGAGCCTTCACCACACTCCTGGGGCAAAGAGTTCCCTTGCTGAACAGCTCTCACAGTCAGGAAGTTCTTCCTCATGTTCAGATGGAATCTCCTTTCTTTCCTGTAGTTTGAAGCCATTGTTCCATTGCATCCTAGTCTCCAGGGCAGCAGAAACAAGTCTGCTCCCTCTATGAGGAGCGGCTTAAGAGCTGGGCATGTTTAGCCTGAAGAAGAGAAGGCTGAGAGGATATATGATAGCCATGTATAAATATGTGAGAGGAAGCCACAGGGAGGAGGGAGCAAGCTTGTTTTCTGCTTCCCTGGAGACTAGGACGCAGGAACAATGGCTTCAAACTACAAGAAAGGAGATTCCATCTGAACATGAGGAAGAACTTCCTGACTGTGAGAGCCGTTCAGCAGTGGAACTCTCTGCCCCGGAGTGTGGTGGAGGCTCCTTCTTTGGAAGCTTTTAAACAGAGGCTGGATGGCCATCTGTCAGGGGTGATTTGAATGCAATATTCCTTCTTCTTGGAAGGGGGTTGGACTGGATGGCCCACGAGGTCTCTTCCAACTCTTTGATTCTTTGATTCTATGATTCTATGACTTCCGTCACATATTTCTACATGGCCATCATGTCTCCTCTCAGCCTTTTCTTCTACAGGCGGAACATGCCCAGCTCTTTAAGCTGCTCCTCATAGGGCTTGTTCTCCAGATCCTTGATCATTTTAGTCACCCTTCTTGGACACATTCCAGCTTGTAAACATCTCCCTTCAATTGCCTTGCCCAGAATTGAACATAGTATTCCAGGTGTGGACCAACCAAGGCAGAATAGAGGGGTAGCATGACTTCTCTGGATCTAAACATTATACTAGCAGCCAGAAAGCCAGAAAAAAATGGAAGGGGTTGAAACTCCAACCCCCCCCCCCCCCAAAATGACTTTTCTGGGCAGTGTCTCCTGATCTGGCAGGAGAACTCAACAAGGCCCTGAAATTATACCMTCGTTGTGCAAAGGTTCTTCACAGGTAATCAGTTCTGAATCATTGCTCTCTCTTTAAGCTAGTTCTTTTTGGCCACAAAGGACAATAGTTTTCACAATTAGCAGAAGTTTATTTCTGGGTTTTTTTTCTGTTTCTTGTTTCCTTTATCATCAAGACGTTTTCCACTGTGAATTAGCAAGTTTGCAGCCAAGCACAAGTTGTTCTGATGGCACTCTGTTTTTTGGTGTCTATTGAAAACTTCTGTTGCACAATGCACCAAGCTTCTGATGACCACCATTACCCCCAACTTCTTCTCCAAATATCACATTATACTTAACAGAGTGCACCTTGTACATGGCATGAGTAGTCTAACCAGGAAAATCTGTTGAGCCATTTGGGTTGAAAATTAGATGCCTCTTCTTAACCACAGGAAATACATATCCTGCCAATGGAGTCTGTGGTTTTTGCACTACTTGAGCTTTCACTTGGTCACCAGAAACAGTCTTGTTCATATAAAGTCCAATGACACAACTTCTTCTCTTTGCTCCTGTTCCATGGTTTCCTTGGAGGGCTTGGATTAGATGAACCAGTGGTAGACACCTCAGTTTCCACAGTTTCCTCAGTTTTCACCTGCAATCTAGGTCAACCCCCCCCCCCATGCCTTAGGCTTTCCCTGTCAGCTGTGAGTCTTTAATGAGCTTAATCCAGCCCTAGCTGGGCTGATACAATTCTAGCATATGTTGGTTTCCATATGAGAAGCCCTGTTAGCTCAGGCCCCATCTACACTGCCATATAAAATCCAGATTATCTTCTTTGAACTGGATTATAAGGCAGTGTAGACTCAAATAATCCAGTTCAAAGCAGATATACTAGATTTTATGTAGAGGTGTAGGTGGGGCCTCAGAGAGCCTTGTTAGGTCACCTTAAAGATTACT